GGGGGGGGGGGGGGGGGGGGGTAGAGGAGAGCCAGGACAAAGCAGGCCAGGACCAGTGTAGTTACGGACAAGACTGCACTCTGGGCTCTGCTTGCCTGGGCCTTCAGTTGTCCCTCAGGACCTGTCAGGTGTCCTGAGCGACACCTGGAGGCCTCCAACCTAGCCTGCCAGAACCTTCTGGAAAAGCCATGACTTTCCGTTCCAGGAAAGAGATGTTCATTTGCATGTTGGGTTATATCTCTTTCTATATACCCAACCATTTTTGCATATCATCAGTATATGTCACCAAGAACCTTGAATGGGAGAAAAAAAAATCAATTTAGGAGATTAAGTAAGAAAAAAAACAGTAGATCTTGCTCTAGTTCAAGATCTTCTTTTAGTAAGTGAAGGAATAGTCTCATCTTCTGGACTGGAAAAGTGTCTGGTTAGGCCCAGTCCTGGATGCCTGGATGTTTTCTGATTCTGTATTTGGTCTTGGATCAAGGTTAGGTCTGGAGGAACAAAGGATCTGGGATCCTTCATCTGGGCTGATGGCTTGTTCATTATGCAAATGACTGTCTGCAAACCCAACCAAGCTTGACTGTAGTACACCAGGCTGCCTTCTTCTCCCTTTCCTGACACCTGGTTGAGATAGGAAGGAGAGGTTAGACCAGAAGACCCTCAGTAAGGCCAGGTAGCTGGTTATGTGGTCTGGTTGCTTCTTCTGCCAAAAAGAAGCAGGAATCCTGGGATTCTGACCTGTGTGGTTTTGTCACTTGGCTAAAGTAGAATTTTATTGTCTTCATGAGCCCTGCATCCTTCTGATAAACAAAGTACCAATAATGCTAACTTAAGGATGCCTTCTTAAGGGACCAAGACCCAGGCTGCTTATTACACTATCACATTTAACTCCTGTCTACCCTGGAAGAGGGTATAAGAATCAGAGAGGTTGTAAGAGGCCAGTAGCTCCTGCCTATAATCCTAGCTACTCAGGAGGCTGAGATCTGAGGATTGTGGTTCTAAGATAGCCCAGGCAGGAAAGTCCATGAGACTTTAATCTCCAATTAACCAACAAAAAGCCAGAAGTAGCCAGGCACTGGTGGCTCATGCCTGTAATCCTAGCTACTCAGGAGGCCGAGATGTGAGGCTGGTGGTTCAAAGCCAGCCTGGGCAGCAAAGTCCATGAGACTCTTGTCTCCAATTAACTACCAGAAAGTGGTGCTGTGGCTCAAAGTAATAAGGTGCTAGCCTTGAACAAAAAGAGCTCAGGGACAATGCCCAGGCCCCAAATTCAAGCCCCATGACCAGCCAAGAAAAAAAAAAAAGCTGGAAGTGGGGTTGTGGCTCAAGTGGTAGAATACAAGCCTGTAGTAGAAAAGTCAAACAAGAGAGAGAAGCCCTGAGTTCAAGCCCCAAGTACCAGCACACACACACACACACAAATCAGAGATGAAACTTGCTTGTAGTTGGTAGGTGGCAGAACTGAAAATGGAACTCAGGTCTTCATGACCACACACCTTGTATATGCCAATGAGAAATGACCCCTCCACAAGCCCTTTGAGATGTATCGAAACTTGCAGGAACAGAGGGGCTGCTTCCATCCATGATCATGGGAGCATGCCTCTCAGCGGTAGGCCAACTATGCAGGCATGCAGACAGCAGGCCAGCTCCCCTACAGGCTGCTCATTCAGCATCCGCATAGACCAAAGCTACACTCAGTCTAGCTACAGGTTTAGAAAGTGTGCTATGGAGTCTGAATTTTGGCTTGAATCTAGGCTCTGCCACCATCTTGGTAAGTTACCTTTACCAAACATCAGCTTTATTCTGTGGTAGGAATAACACTGGTCTCACAGGGCTGGGCTGGGAAAGAAGGAGCCATGCAAGGATGCAGAGCACTTTGTTATTATTACTATTTTTGTTGTCGATGCTCTTTAATCTGCCATATCTCAAAGGTACTTGCTACCTTTTTCCCCAACGCTCTTATGCTAGAAGGTCCCTGGTGTCTTTAGTTTGGTTAGAAAAATGAAGTTTTGGGCTGGGAAGGTGTCTCAGTGGTACAGCGCTTGCCTTGCACGCATGAGGCCCTGGGTTCAATTCCTCAGCACCACATAAGCAAAAAGAAAATAAAGCTGGAAGTGGCACTGTGGCTCAAGTGGTAGAGTGCTAGCCTTGAGCTGAAGAGCTGAGGGACAGTGCCCAGGCCCCACGACTGGACCCCCCCAAAATATATATATATATATATATATATATATATTTAAAGTGCCTTCAGGGAACTCATAATGGAATGGGGCAGCAAGTCCCCTGTCTGAGACACAGAGACAGGAAGACCCCAAAAGTTTAAATGGAACAAGCACTACTAGCTACTCTGGAGGCTGAAATCTGAGGATCATAGTTTGAAGCCCTCCCAGACAAACAAATCTGTGTCTCTTATCTCTAATGGACTAGGAAAAAGCCAGAAGTAGAGAGTTGTGGCTCAAATGGTAGAGCACCAGCCTTGAGGAAAAAAAAATCTAAGAAACAGTTCCGGTCTGGAGTTCAAATTCCAGTACCAGCGCTCTCTCTCTCTCTCTCTCTCTCTCTCTCTCTCTCTCTCTCTCTTTCTCTCTCTTTCTCTCTCTCTCTCTCTCACACACACACACACATACACACAGAGCTTAAGTGAAGTTGGGCAAGCAGACATGGAGAATAGCATAAAGGGGATTTTGCTGCAGAAAATGACTGAGTGAGCCCAAATAGTTGGAGGTCAACACAACACACCTTCCCACCCCCTTACCTGGCCTAGAGTGCTCACACGGGCTTCCACCTGCCGCAGGGCAGCCCCCTGTAGGTCCAACATGCGCAGAGTGTGCCCAGCCAGGTTGCCCACCTGGTAGGCCACACTGGCCAGAGCCTGGGTAGTGAAGGCCATGGTCTCCTCCAGTGCCTTCCGCTTGTCTGTGGCCTGAAATACACACAGGCCTGGTTGGAGGCCAGCACACTCCACTGGGGCCTTGGCTGACTGGGGTGGAATGGGAAAGGACCTAGAAAAGGCAGGAGCTGAAGTGGGAGGAAGCAGCAGTCCCTCTTAGAGGAGGTTTCTAGAAAAATGATATAGTCAGAAGACTCGGGCCATTAGAAAAGCGAGTTTGTAGCCCTGGAGACAAAGCCACCACTCCTCCAATAAAACCCTTACTGCCTTCCTGAGGACTTGAGCAACAAGGAGCTATTTGGGGGTTATAGAATGCACAGTAGAAAGGAAAGAGGAAGGTATTGCTTGTTGCAAACATTCTTAAAAGCTAAAAGCAGAGTGACATTGTCCAAGAAAAAATATACACACTGCCTGATTTATGTAATCCCTCTTTACATTACCTTATAATAAAACAAAAAATAAAAACAACCACGTGCCAGTGGCTCACATCTGTAATCCTAGCTAATCTGAGGATCAAGGTTAAAAGCTAGCCTGGACAGGAAAGTCTGTAAGACTTATCTTCAATAAACTACCAAAAAGCTAGAGGTAGAGTTGTAGTTCAAGTGGTAGAGCACTAGACTTGAGCATAAAAGCCCCGAGTTCAAGCCCCAGGACTGGCACATACATACTCAGAAAAAGGAAACATTAAAAACTAATATAGCCCAGACCTTCAAATTGGTGTCTCCTAGAGTAATACAAGAAGTCCATCCTGGATGGTTCTCAGAAGTCTCTGTGCTTCGTTTAACCTCCTCTGCAGGTTGGTGTTTGGACACTCACCTAAGGAAACTGTGGCCCAGAATGGGGTCACTTCCCTCACTCATTCTGTCCAGTTCTCAATGTGCTGAGAATAAAATCCAAACTTCTGAACACGGCAGCCTCACATACAGACCATTCAAGTCTGCCTTCTACCTTTCTCTTCACTCATTCCCTGCCCCCACTCCCTTGCTTTACTTAACCCTCTTCAGCTGTTCTCTTCCTGTGCAAACTAGATGATTTCTACCTCCCAGCCTTTGTATTTAACGGTAGTTCCTAGAATCCTTTTCCCTAGTAAGTTTCAGCTTCTCAGCGAGGTCTTCCTTTCTCCAACCTAAGCTTCCCCCAGGCCCACCTCTCTGTTGCTATCATAATTACCCTGATTTCTTTTTTCTTCATAATCTTTAGCACTATCACACATTATCTATTTGCTTGTTTTAGTGGGGGTGAGGGGAGGATACAGGTGCTTAAACTTAGGGACCCATACTAGGTTAAAGCTCTACCATTTGCTAGGTTCCCAGCCTATTTGCTTAGGTAGCTCACGCCTATAATCCTAGCTATTCAGGAGGCTGAGATCTGACAATCAAAGCCAGCCAGCCTGAGCAGGAAAGTCCGTGTGACTCTTATCTCCAATTAACTACCAGAAAACCAGAAGTGGTGCTGTGGCTCAAGTGGTAGATCGCTGGCTTTGAACTGAAGAGCTCAGGGACAGTGCCCAGGCCCAGAGTTCAAACCCCATGACAAAAAAAAAAAAAAATTGCATACATTTGTCAAGGTTGGACTTGAATTGGGATTTTCTTATCTCCACCTTCCGAGCAGCTCAGATTACAGATGTGAGCTACTATAGTCAGCTTCTGTTTAACTTCTCTATGTCATCTATTCTTAGCCTCTTCACACACACAAAAAAAAGTAAATGCTGTGAGAGTAGGAAGTTTGTCTGTTTCACTGTGTATCCTAGCCCAGAGCAGTGCTCCCCACATGTAGAAGACATTTAATAAATATGCATTTGTAGATTGATTAACAGATTGAATAGAAACTGAAATCTTTGCTGGGCATCATGCTACTTCATTCCTGACGCTGGCGGCGTCACACTACTGGTTAGTAAAGGAGCAGTGGGCAAGGAGTGGCTGAAGACAAAAGAGGATTTTTGTCAGTTCCAGATCAGAATGTGGGGGCTGGGGTAAAACTTCTCTGGTGTCTTTGTTCCCCAGGCAACTTCCTCCTCCCACTTGAGCTTGCTGTACTCTAGGCTGTACCTTTGGGGGGGGGGGGGGGGGGGGGTAGAGGAGAGCCAGGACAAAGCAGGCCAGGACCAGTGTAGTTACGGACAAGACTGCACTCTGGGCTCTGCTTGCCTGGGCCTTCAGTTGTCCCTCAGGACCTGTCAGGTGTCCTGAGCGACACCTGGAGGCCTCCAACCTAGCCTGCCAGAACCTTCTGGAAAAGCCATGACTTTCCGTTCCAGGAAAGAGATGTTCATTTGCATGTTGGGTTATATCTCTTTCTATATACCCAACCATTTTTGCATATCATCAGTATATGTCACCAAGAACCTTGAATGGGAGAAAAAAAAATCAATTTAGGAGATTAAGTAAGAAAAAAAACAGTAGATCTTGCTCTAGTTCAAGATCTTCTTTTAGTAAGTGAAGGAATAGTCTCATCTTCTGGACTGGAAAAGTGTCTGGTTAGGCCCAGTCCTGGATGCCTGGATGTTTTCTGATTCTGTATTTGGTCTTGGATCAAGGTTAGGTCTGGAGGAACAAAGGATCTGGGATCCTTCATCTGGGCTGATGGCTTGTTCATTATGCAAATGACTGTCTGCAAACCCAACCAAGCTTGACTGTAGTACACCAGGCTGCCTTCTTCTCCCTTTCCTGACACCTGGTTGAGATAGGAAGGAGAGGTTAGACCAGAAGACCCTCAGTAAGGCCAGGTAGCTGGTTATGTGGTCTGGTTGCTTCTTCTGCCAAAAAGAAGCAGGAATCCTGGGATTCTGACCTGTGTGGTTTTGTCACTTGGCTAAAGTAGAATTTTATTGTCTTCATGAGCCCTGCATCCTTCTGATAAACAAAGTACCAATAATGCTAACTTAAGGATGCCTTCTTAAGGGACCAAGACCCAGGCTGCTTATTACACTATCACATTTAACTCCTGTCTACCCTGGAAGAGGGTATAAGAATCAGAGAGGTTGTAAGAGGCCAGTAGCTCCTGCCTATAATCCTAGCTACTCAGGAGGCTGAGATCTGAGGATTGTGGTTCTAAGATAGCCCAGGCAGGAAAGTCCATGAGACTTTAATCTCCAATTAACCAACAAAAAGCCAGAAGTAGCCAGGCACTGGTGGCTCATGCCTGTAATCCTAGCTACTCAGGAGGCCGAGATGTGAGGCTGGTGGTTCAAAGCCAGCCTGGGCAGCAAAGTCCATGAGACTCTTGTCTCCAATTAACTACCAGAAAGTGGTGCTGTGGCTCAAAGTAATAAGGTGCTAGCCTTGAACAAAAAGAGCTCAGGGACAATGCCCAGGCCCCAAATTCAAGCCCCATGACCAGCCAAGAAAAAAAAAAAAGCTGGAAGTGGGGTTGTGGCTCAAGTGGTAGAATACAAGCCTGTAGTAGAAAAGTCAAACAAGAGAGAGAAGCCCTGAGTTCAAGCCCCAAGTACCAGCACACACACACACACACAAATCAGAGATGAAACTTGCTTGTAGTTGGTAGGTGGCAGAACTGAAAATGGAACTCAGGTCTTCATGACCACACACCTTGTATATGCCAATGAGAAATGACCCCTCCACAAGCCCTTTGAGATGTATCGAAACTTGCAGGAACAGAGGGGCTGCTTCCATCCATGATCATGGGAGCATGCCTCTCAGCGGTAGGCCAACTATGCAGGCATGCAGACAGCAGGCCAGCTCCCCTACAGGCTGCTCATTCAGCATCCGCATAGACCAAAGCTACACTCAGTCTAGCTACAGGTTTAGAAAGTGTGCTATGGAGTCTGAATTTTGGCTTGAATCTAGGCTCTGCCACCATCTTGGTAAGTTACCTTTACCAAACATCAGCTTTATTCTGTGGTAGGAATAACACTGGTCTCACAGGGCTGGGCTGGGAAAGAAGGAGCCATGCAAGGATGCAGAGCACTTTGTTATTATTACTATTTTTGTTGTCGATGCTCTTTAATCTGCCATATCTCAAAGGTACTTGCTACCTTTTTCCCCAACGCTCTTATGCTAGAAGGTCCCTGGTGTCTTTAGTTTGGTTAGAAAAATGAAGTTTTGGGCTGGGAAGGTGTCTCAGTGGTACAGCGCTTGCCTTGCACGCATGAGGCCCTGGGTTCAATTCCTCAGCACCACATAAGCAAAAAGAAAATAAAGCTGGAAGTGGCACTGTGGCTCAAGTGGTAGAGTGCTAGCCTTGAGCTGAAGAGCTGAGGGACAGCGGCCAGGCCCAGAGTTCAGGCCCCACAACCAGACCCCCCCAAAAAAAAAGAAAAAAGAAAAGAAAAATGAAGTTTTAGAAAGCTGGAGCTGGGTGCCAGTGGCTCATGGCTGTAATCCTAGTGACTCAAGAAGCTGAGATCTGTGGATCACGGTTCAAAGCCAGTTCAGGCAAGAAGTTCAAGGCCAGCCCAGGCAAAGTTAGTGAGATCTTATCTCAAAAATAAAATTTAAGTGAAGTTTGGCTCGTCTCTCTCTGTCTCTGTCTCTGTCTCTGTCTTTCTCTCTCTCTCTGTAGCTTTTAGAGAGAGAGTCTCACTATGGAGTCAAATGGCCTCAAATTCATGATCCTCTTACTTCAGCCTCTGAGTGCTGAGGGTTACTAGTGTAAAGTACCATACCCAGCATAGTTTGTCACTTTTAAGAGAGGAAAGAAAATGGATCTGTGGCTCAACTGGTAGAGTGCCAGCCTGGGGCGGGTGGGGGTGGGGGAAGGAACGCAAAGCAAAAGCATAAGACCCTGAGTTCAGGCTTTAGGACCAGCATGAGAGAAAGACAGACAGACAGAGACAGAGAGAAAAAGAGAGAGGAAGAGGAGGAAAGAAGACAAAGAGTGCAGATAGTGTCTTTAAATCACACATCTGGAAGACAGAAAGGAGAGGAAAGATCTCAGGAGGTCTGGAAGCAGTGAGGCCAGGCTGCTCTCAGCTGAGTGAGCCTGGACAAGTCCCTTCACCGTCTGAGCTATGGTTTTCATATCCACAAAATAGGAGACACAATAGTTGGTTCATGAGGCAGTTGTGGGATTCATGAAAGCACAGGGGTCTCCGGTCATTTACTTCCCTGCTCCCAGGCCCTGATTCAGGAATCTGTCCCAGGACAGACAGATTCTGGGACAGTTCTGGGACAAACACAAAGTTTAAATCACACACAACAATAACAACAACAACAACAACAACAACTGTTCTCCAATGCCACTCTCTTTTTCTTTTCCCAGCCACCTGCTCCCAGGAATCATGTCATAAATCCCCTGCCCCTCCGCCAGACCCTTTCTCTGTAGTCCGTTAGGCTGTGACTTCTTTCTATCCATCTTTAAGTACCAACCAACAAACTCCTTTCCTTTGCCTGTCTTGAGTTTACAACAATGGGAAGTTCTTCTGAAATCTCTCCTAAATCCAGCCTGAAAATGTAATGGTGTCCAGGCACTTTGAGTCTCTGGAGTGAAAGGCTCTGTGAGAGATGAGCCTGCTGACGCTGGAGACCAGGCTGGATAGAGGATGCTGCCTGGCTGGGTCCTCTGAGACTCCGGTGGAGAATGGGCTTTGCCAGCACTTGGGTAATATGGGATCCGGGCTAAGTTTGGGGGACCAGGATGAAATCAAAGCCTGGAGTGGGAGGGTTTTTCAGCTAAGCACCTGTCAGGTGGCCTCCCTGGCCCTGCCTAAGGCTCAGCAACACAAGGGTCCAGCACCCCTCCCCCCTGTCCCCCATCATGTCCTGGCCTGTGCCCTCTCCACTTACTTTTGCGTAGTTGTCTTCACAGTAGTCAGCCACCCTCAGCAAGGCCCTGTGATTGCCCAGCAGAGCCTCCCGGCCCGTGGGAATCTCAAACTCTTGCAACTGCTGTAGCTCCGCCATGGCCCCCAGCCGCGTTGGGCTCCCCCAGGGGAGCCTCTGGTTTTGAGCCTCACCCTGCCCTTGATTGGTCGCTCTGCCTCCCCTCCCTCTTACTGCTTTTGGTTTCCTCTTCGTGAGAGACCCAAACCTGCTTGCAAAGGGCAGGCATGCTCATTCTGACACAGGAGGAAGTCCCTGCTCCCTGGGCCTGGGCCTCTCTGTCCTCTGCCTAGAGGAAGGGGGAAGCCAGTGGCCTGTTTGGGGGCCCAGCCCCCAATCCCACCCAGCAGAGGAAGCCAAGGTCGGGGCAGCTGTGATTGCTCCCTGATCCTGGAGAGGAAACTGGTTGGTAGGGGCGTGGGGGGAGAGACTGGGGAGGAAGGGGTTGGCCTGCTATGGTGGGGGGGGTGTAGATTTTCCACTCATAGAAGAGGGGAGGAAAGGACAGAGGGTGGGGGCTTCCTTGGGAAGCGCGGGGATGAGTCACGGGGGGGTAGGATATAGAGATCAGTCATTCTGAGAGCA